TTTATTCGTTACGACAAGGTCAAGTACTTTGTGGTCTGATGACATTACTGTAACATTCTCAATGAGGATGTCACATGTTCGAATCTCATCTCAATTGAAGTGTTTTGCTGTTAACATAGAAAGATTTGCCCAAAAAAATATTCATTACTACAATGTGTCTTCAGTGAGCATGTAAGAGTTCTCCATAAATCTTAATCATTCAAACACATGGACTGATCCCACATTTTAAAATTAACTTATCGTTTTACACTTCGAAGCAATCACAATGTGTGTCGCATTATTGGGTGTGTTTTTGCAATACAAAATATCTCAACTAATCTATTCATCCACGCAAGTAGTTCGTCAACTGGGTGCGCTACACCTCACAAATTTCCTCATCCAGTCAAACAAAATGTGCCACCATAAATGCAGCACTAGCCAACACTACATTCAACTTCTACATTGTTATAATGGTCTCTTCCATTCCTGCAAACTGAGATTGATGACTTCTCTACCATTTTTAAGAGCTTTAGATATTCTGGATTAGGATGAACCTTTTTAAAATGTGTCTCGCTACAATTTATATCTTTTTCAAATTTAATAGGGAAAACTGTCAAATAGGGAAAAATTTAATAGGGAAAACTTTCAAATTTAATAGGGAAAACTGTCAAATAGGGAAAACTGGTGGAATTTTTTGATGAATTTTATTTAGCATCTTATTCACCAAGTCTAGTTTACTCGTACCAAATTTCAGCTAAAAATTCAATCGGGAACACATTCAAATTAATTCTTAAAGATAACTGCACATTTTTGCGTTCTCGAATTAATTTGAATGCGCTCCCGGTTCAATTTTTAGCTGAAATTTGGTATGAGTAAATTAGACTTGATAAATAAGATGCACAAAAAAATTCATCAAAAAATTATATCAGGAACCGCCCCAAATCGCGACGATCGGACAGAGTCTCCTATAAAAGGACTTAATTGACTTTTTTATGAAAGTTCGAGGACCTATTTGACAGTTTTCCCAATTTAATAGCATATCATATTACAACTAAAAACGACTAGGTCAAATCAGGCTTGATAGTGTGGAATTGACAACCTTAGACAAGATTAAATAGATATAACCTTATCTGATGTAAGCATTAAGGAGGGTCTGTTTGGTAACAGATGCATTGGTTGGAATGGCTGAAAAGCCTAAAAAGACTTAATTTGTTGAAATGAAAGTGTTTGGTTTAATGTTGGTTGATACAGCTGATGTAAATAGATAATGTGGAATTGACAACCTTAGACAAGATTAAATAGATATAACCTTATCTGATGTAAGCATTAAGGGTCTGATTACTATAAAGGGTATTAATGATTTTGGTAACAGCTGCATTGATTGAGTGTAAAATTACTATAAAGAATATTAATGATTTTGGTAGTATGTTGGCTGATTTTATACAAAGAATTGGGGGACTGTCTACAACTCAAATCCCAAATTTGTTGGTTTCAATGATCCAGATACATACATGTAATAGAGTAATTCCACATGACATGAGAATCTACTTGTTATTAGCTTACAGTAACTTTAATTAATTGGAGCGATAAGCCAGTTTTCTACTACCTTTTGTCTCCTCAAAAGGCATTGGTAGACGGTTGATCTGGGTTAACTTAAGAAAATGAAACAACGGAATTTCATACCAGTTGCTGCGCAAATCTAGTGCTCGTCAGGTGCGTACAAAAAAGAAGCAAGCAAGATGTATCAGGCGTACAATACAAGGGCAAAAGAGTATTTTTTATTTCCAATGGTATATAAATGATTTTCAACTCAACAAGTAACTTTGATGTTGCTATTTTGGCCGATAAGAAAATTCAGTCCAGCCAAGTACTGGTCTGATGGCATCACTGTGGCACTCCCAAGGATGTTGACATTAACATTGAGCAGATACTATATAGGTTAGAAAGAATTATAAAAAAAAAACAGCCCAAACAGCCAATTTGCCTTGTGTTTGCCTATTTTTTTAGATTTTAAGGCTTATAAGTCCATTTTTAGGACTCCAAACACCTCCAAATCATATCGACAAAGCCCAATTCAATTCTAACCATATCGTTTATCAAAGAAAATAAGTATATCCAAACAAGACGCCCCTCAGGACACGTTAATGAATAATTATCTTGGTCGTTATCTTCTCATTTACGGAGTATTAACTAAGCTTTTATCTAAGTCATGTTTACTTTACTAGTTTATTTATTTTCATTCGGGTTTGTAGTTTTTGGGCAACTGTCTGGATATATCGTACAAGTCTTTTGCCATAAAAAACCAAGTTTTTGTCATGTATATCCACTAATGCATTATTCTACATTTTTACTCTAGATTATTTTCAATTATGCAAGTAATCGGTAGGAATTCGTAGTTACAGATCTCATTTACCAGATCAGACCAGCAAATTTCAGTCCAAAAAAAAAAACATTCTTACTTACATTAAAACAAGTGCCTTTTGATATTGTTATTAGGGACAGGTCTATACTCTGTAGTATGGCAACAAGGGTCATGGCCTGGGGACTGGGGTTCATAAAACTACGATCTAGTCACTCTGTCACGGCCTTGGGTATGGGAACAAGTATTGCGATCTAGAGTATGGGCCGTATGGCAACAAGGATCATGGCCTTGGGTTCATAAAATAAGAGCTCGTTTGGTAGCATCAAAATCGGTTGTTTTGGCTGATTCTGCTGAAGTTTATAAAATTCTGGTTGAAGTGACTGTATTGGCTGATTTTGCTGATTTAAGAAAAAAATATTTTAAAAATATATTTTATTAATAAAATAAGGGAAAACTGTCAAATAGGTCCTCGAACTTTCGTAAAAAAGTCAATTAAGTCCTTCTATAGGAGGTTCTGTCTGGCCGTCGCGATTTGGGGCAGTTCCCGGTGGAATTTTTTGATGAATTTTTTTTAGCATCTTATTCACCAAGTCTAGTTTACTCGTACCAAATTTCAGCTAAAAATTCAATCGGGAACACATTCAAATTAATTCTTAAATATAACTGCACATTTTTGCGTTCTCGAATTAATTTGAATGCACTCCCGGTTCAATTTTTAGCTGAAATTTGGTACGAGTAAATTAGACTTGATAAATAAGATGCACAAAAAAATTCATCAAAAAATTATATCGGGAACCGCCCCAAATCGCGACGATCGGACAGAGTCTCCTATAGAAGGACTTAATTGACTTTTTTATGAAAGTTCGAGGACCTATTTGACAGTTTTCCCATAAAATAAAGAACAAATTATATGTAAAATAGTTAAAATGGTCATCTATAGTAACTTCAGCCAATACAGCCAGAAAAGTAACTTCAATCTTAGTTTTTCTGCTTATTACACAATTCAGCACGCAAAAAACAGTGTTGCCAAACAACCGCTAAAGGTTAAAGCCAAGTTTTGAGTATACTTCTTTTTTGGTCTAGTAGTTATCTTTTATTTGGATTTTCTGACACAAGACTACAATTTAATTGTAAATACGGAGTATTTTGAAACAAGAGACCATTGAAAGTGATATTTTGTGGTGTGGGTTTTATTCTTTTTTAGTTCAATATTTGTTTCGTAGCTAATTTCTTAGTTCAATACTAAAAAATTTGAACATACCTAATCAAATTCTTTATCCTAAAATTTTTTCTGACCCCAAACATAACTTGTATTGGGATATGAGAGAAGCTATATTGCTTGTATGAAAGTAGCTACTGACGTTCATCATGAATGGGCGATGGTTTGAACTTTGAACTTTGAATACATTAAATATGTTCTTAAAAAATTGATATCAACAAGAAATTGCAGCATTGTGTAGATTTTGGGTTGGAGACTTGTAGCAAACCGGAGTGTTTGGATCCACTCCTTAATTGTTCTACTTCTTCAAAGAGCAAAAGCAAATATTTGAGTATTTGGGTCGGAGTGCAGTAATACTTCTTGAGGACTTCAAAATGCTCATACAACAGTTTTTTAGAAGTTAGGGTAGACCAACTTCTCGAAACTGATTCTAATACTACTTCTGCCTGATTCTAATACTACTTCTGCTTTATTAAACAAAGATGCAAAAACAGAATCAATTCAGCAATTCCAAACACCCCAACATATGGCCGCAAAGGTTAAATGGTTCCACTAACATAATCTATTAATAATATATTTTATTCTTATCTGGCCTTGATACCAAGGGAGAAAGGGGATATGTTATTGTTTGTTCGATTTTGAAGGAAAACAAACTTAGAAATGAAATACCATGTGTAGTGTTTCATGTTGTTTTACACTTTCTACATATGTTTTGATATCTCAGCCTGTTTATGTACATTTTACGATAAGAGAAGTAATTCCGCTTATTCACATGGTCTTAATGCCTCATTTGTTTTGAAAGATGCCCATTTATTTTAAACAAAACGGCAAGCTGAATACCCTTTTGATGAACTACTATCATCATATCAAAAAAGTTTGTCGTTTAATAAATGTCTACAAGTAATGACAATTCACAATTTATACATGGAGTAACTGTTCAAAAGAGGCTTCAGCAAGAGTTTAAGACTGTCATTTGAGGTGATCATGCATCACTTGATCACATTAGTAGTTCAAAAACAATACAGTAGTTAGCAAGCCCATGTATTTTTACATGGGATAATCATCCCTTAATAATCTAGAACATAGCTAATGCCCCCATCCCAATTCCCAATTGTTGCTCTTCAATATTTCCAAACAACCCCTAAGAGACATTAAAGCTTGTAAAAGTCTTCCAACTTGAACCCTAAGAGAAAGCAACACCTAAGCATGGATGAACATAACCCATTCCTAACTTACATCGACCAACTCAGGATAATTGCCTACTCTCCTAGGAGAGCGTGAAGAAAAGGGCAGCTACCATCCTAACATATGTGGCTCTAATGAATTCCAGACTACAATGTTCAGGACACCATTTTATCAACTTTTCTGGCAAGTATAATGGCAGCTAATCTTATCCTAGTTCAACATATCATGTACTTAAACTGAAAACACAGTGCATACTTTTCATCAACAAATCTATTTAGCAAAAAGGCACATGTATTTTGACAAGTAATAGTGTAATACTACTTAATAAGCACATAACGTTATAGAAACCGCGCAACTCAAAATTATGGAGAAATATTTAGTCAAAAGAGGAGTCTAAACCAGAAATTTAACTTAGATGGAAGGTAATCCACAACACCTTAAATCAAAACAGTAACAAAAAGCTAAATTTCATAATCCAGATGTAATAATAATGGGAAAAAGTAGAGGTTTCATAAAAAAGCTTAATCACCACCCTTCTGGTAGACATAAGTGAGGCCGCACTTGCCACAGTAGTGCCTGTCGAAGTGGTTAGCCATAAAGGTTCCGGCACCGCACTCGGCGTTAGGGCATTCCTTGCGAAGCCTTTGAACCTTTCCAGAATCGTCGACCTTGTAGAACTGCAACACGGCGAGCTTGACCTTCTTGTGCTTGTGCTTCAGCTTCTTTGGCTTAGTGTAGGTCTTCTTCTTGCGCTTCTTCGCACCACCGCGGAGACGGAGGACAAGGTGGAGGGTTGACTCCTTCTGGATGTTGTAATCTGCCAAGGTGCGGCCGTCCTCGAGCTGCTTTCCGGCGAAGATGAGCCGCTGCTGGTCCGGCGGGATGCCTTCCTTGTCCTGGATCTTGGCCTTCACATTGTCGATTGTGTCCGATGATTCGACCTCGAGGGTGATCGTCTTCCCCGTCAGGGTCTTCACGAAGATCTGCATATTTGCGTCTGCGATGGAAGCTTAGGGTTTGGGCAAAACTGAATACTTATACACGTGCCAATGCTTTGGGCTACTTCAAGCTAGGGTTTCCGCTCCTTCATCTACTTCAAGCTATGGGCCTCTGGCGTTAAAGCTTTGGGCCTTTCTGAGTGGGTTACAATTTCGGTTTTTGCATATTAATGGGAATGGATTCTTGCATTAAATTGAAGCTTTTTTTTTTTGGAAAATGCATTAAATTGAAGCTTATTTCTAACAAAGTGACGATGATCAAGAAAAAAAGAAAAAAACAAAAAAAAAAGTGATTACTTTTGTCTCAGGCAAAATTGTGACTAACAAAGTAATATATTTAGCAAACATGATTTCACTGTCAGATTTTCATGTTATTAACAAATGTCAATGTCAGATTCTCATGTCACTAACATATGTCACATTCGTAGTGAAACGTGCCACTAGGACCGCTAGAGAAGTTTTATGAATTTTTAAAAAATATAAAAATGAAAAATATCATCAAAATTTGTTGGCTCGATTTCTAGCAACACTCAGGCATATGTGGGGGCTGAGATAGAGATTGGGTATTACAACGAAAAAAATGAGATTATTATTATTTTTTTCAATATTCGTTCACATATGTCAGAGTCCTGCAGTTTAAGAGTTTGCATTTCCATGAGGTGCAATATATATATATATATATATATATATATATATAGAGAGAGAGAGAGAGAGCTCTTCTCATCAGGCCGGCCTGACGGGCTGCCCCGTCCGGCCGAGCCCGTTTGGGCACCTTCCCGGTGGAATTTTTTGATGAAATTTTTTGAGCTTGTTCCTCATCAAGTCTAGTTTGTCCATACCAAATTTCAGCTCAAAATTCGATCGGGAAGGTTGTCAAATGATTTTTGCAAGTTAACTGGTCCGGAATATGTATTTTCCGGACCAGTTAACTTGCAAAAATCATTTGACGACCTTTCCGATCGAATTTTGAGCTGAAATTTGGTATGGACAAACTAGACTTGATGAGGAACACGCTCAAAAAATTTCATCAAAAAATTCCACCGGGAAGGTGCCCAAACGGGCTCGGCCGGACGGGGCAGCCCGTCAGGCCGGCCTGATGAGAAGTTTTCTCTATATATATATATATATATATATATATATATATAGATATGATACATCTGTTATTGGTATTATTGCGATTTAATACCTTAACTCTTCAAAGGAATAATCAGTACAATAAATAAGTAAGTCTCTTGCATAGAAGTATTGCCTAAATATCACTAAACATTACATTTTCACCCTCAATATAATTAAGGAAAATTTGACACTAATAATCCGATCTTTAACCGGTCTGCCAAAAATGGTCCCTATTATTGATAATCCCATAAAAATCAACTTTTACCTTCTGTCTTTGTTCTCTAGTCCCATGCTTATATTTACCAGTTCCACAACCCGTAAAGTTTTAAATAATACCCGCATAGACTCCAGTACCCTTTCATATTTCCACCGCACTTCATGTTTTAAAAAACATATAAAGTCTATTTGTCACTAAATATTTTGGAGAAGAAGAGCCGCGACAAACCCTCTAAATTTAGTCACTCATTTTTAAGTTACAAATATAGTGAGTATAGTCGTCAAAGTATGTAAGTGTTTGACTTAAGTGGCTAATTCTTTTTTTTGTAGTGATACCACGTTGGTGTAAAAACCACATACTTCGAATGAGAAAAACATCAACAATATATATACCACTTCTGGTCTTTCACAAAATTCCCTAAGTTCCATTGTAATTATGTGGTAGATTTTTTTGTTATAATATGTTTCTTAACCTTTATGCCTACATTTATGTTTCGTTTTAACATGAAAATGTCAATTCATATCATTCAGCAAATGTAACATTCGATTCTAAGAGAAACAATCAAGTTTTATAGAGATAATTGGGTGCGTGTACGTTTTTAGTATGTATGCTAAAGTTAATGTTACACATTTACAAGAAATTAAATGTATAGCATTTTTAATTTTTGTATAAACTTATTAGCTATGTATGTTCAATAATAATACCAAAATCCATAAAATTTGATGGTAATTCAATCCATATTTGACTTGCATACATTTTATATATTAATCATTGAAGTGGCATACACATTATTAAAAATAGTAGGGGCTATTAACTAAATTTAGCCAAATGACAAATGATGTATTGTTTTAATAATAAAATCATGTGTTACTTTAAAAAAAAAAACTAAACTTAACCTGTTGTTTTATATATGCTATATAGTCATCTCCCCAATTTATATTGCAACTTGTAATTAATTTTATGCTATATAAAAACCATTTCTTGTACATTTATTTATTTCCAGTATCAAATGCCAATGATATTTTATGAGAGTGGATATTATGTCATTGGACATATCTAGGCTAAGATCTCTACTGATGTCATTGGTTCGAGACAAGATGACAATGTGTTACTTATGTCGCATTATATTTCATACGTATATTTTACGTATGTTTATTCTCTTACCTCAGTTTTTTACTTACACATGTACTTTTATATTTAACATGTATAATGTCAGTGTTTGAAATACATTATGTGAGCAAAATTCCAATGAACTCACACTACCTCTGCGTTGGGCATCATTTTATAAAACTACAAGCGATTTGATATTAAGTTTGTCCAATGATATTACTTCCTCCGTTCTCAACTAATTGCAACACTTGCAATTTTAGGAAATTTCATATTAATTGCAACATTTCCAGTTTTAGTAAGGAAGATAAGTAGAGTTGCTTAAATGTCCCTAATCAATATAGACCCAATTTAATTTTTAGACTCGGTCCGTTTCTCATCCGCTCTCTTTATTTCTTCTACCTACCTCATCTCCCAAAATGTACCAGACCTTTCTTCTTAATTTCTCTCCATCTACCATTTCTCAAAGCAAAAGAGGAAGGGTGGGCAGCAGGTATCGGCTCTCTTCTAAAAATCGTTCTAGGCGTCCGATTAATCCCCGCCTAGGCGCTAGGCGGTGGTCGGGCGCCACGATTTTCGTCTAGGCGCTCCGACTAATTGGTTTGCCGTCTAGGTGAATTAGTCAGCCACCTATGGTGCCTAGTGTCCCGCCTAGAGCGCCTAATCGGCCGCCTAGGCCGTCTAGATTCACCAAATATTACTTTACTTTTCAATTTTAATTTTCTAAGCGATACAAGTACTTTAACTTTAGCCACATATATAAAGAAATGAAATTTTAAATTAATATATAGACTATATATATATTTGTATATATACCTAATTTTATTATTATTGATATTTATAACATAATGAAGTTAAGTGTTTAGTTATCGTATACTACGTATGAAAAAATGTGATAATTCTATCATTCGTTTTTGTTAATATATGTGTATATATGTATTTTATTCACACAAGAATACAATATTACTTAACATATTTATGCAAAATATAGATAAAAATGCAATTTCTATGTTCCGACTAGTCCTCGACTAGGCGCCCTCCTAGACGCCTAGGCGTTAGGCGCTGGGCTGACGCCCGACTAGCGCCTAGCGCCTTTTAGAACATTGGGTATCGGTGAACCGGATGGCCGCGACGATGGAATCCAAGACGGTTTTTCCTGTTTGATGTTTGTTGTTTAAGGGGGCGAAGATTTTAACTAGATTCCAAATACGAAGATAAAGAAGGGCCACTTTAACGCAGTGAAATACTACCTCCGTTCTTAAATAAATGCAACACTTTGACTTTTACACTGTTCACATGTTCTACTTTGACTATGTTTTATTTATTAATGTAATAATATTATTTTATGAAAAAAATATTGTTAAACTTGTCTCATTGTAAATTTTCATAATCTAATTTTTTTAATTTTTTTACTAATACAAAATCATTTATATTAATGGTCAAAGTTGTGTCTCGGCAAGTGTGAAATGTTGACCGTTGCATTTATTTAAGAACGGAGGAAGTATCTAACCAGGCTTTTTTCAATAATGGAGATTCACATAGACCCAATATTCAAGTCACGGATTTAGTGGTTCCAAATACCCCTTCTCCTCCTCGACATTTGACTTCTCAAGTCATTGATTTAGTGGTTCCTGATACGCCTCCTCACATCCTTGATGCAAGAGAGATAAGCCATTCAAGGTCAATGAGCTTAAGGAAAAAACTCAAGCTAGCGACAAACAAATCCATGGTGCCGCCTAAGAAGATGTTTTGCCATAGGACTTTCGGTTTTATGGAGGAATACCAGATGAACTTCTATAAATGTTATTGGCGAGATTACATTCCAGATGAGTTGTCTCCAAAAGATAAACTATGTGTGTATATGAGCTTAATTTCTTAATTTACAGGAAAAATATATTGGCATAACTTTGTTATTTATGTATATGGTTATGAATAATTTTGATATTCCGTTTTTATTTGTTGTTGTGAACAGTTTTGGGTTGACTATTGTCTTTGTATGTGTGATTATGTTTGGCACACTACCTGTTTGTTGAATGTTTGAGTAAACAAATGCAATACCTAGTGGCTTAAAATGATTCTGAAAAGGGAATAAAAAGAGTTGGTAAAGAATGGATTTCAGCAAAAAAAAAAAAAAAAAAAAAAACAGGTGGCTTAAAAGGTGTAGTTTTCATTTAAAGCTTAGATTGAATTGAAGCTTTTAAACAAACTGCTATAGACCAAATTGTTTGAGGTAATAACCAATTTTCTTTGGAAAATAAAAGTAAATGTTTTAACGGATGGCCTAAGGACCTGTTTATAAACCTACAAACCCATTTAATGATCACCCAACTACTGACTTACCAGCAAAGGAAAAAGTGGGGGAAAAAACATAAATTGCGTTTGAATACAAAGTTTAAGTTTATAACAATAAATAATGTGACAAATCAAGTCAGCACTCTTTCATACTCCACCTTTATTCTGAAAACAAACTACTAAACTAGCATACTCTTTAAATCTAAACCCACAAAATATATTGCCTGTGTCTTTTCTACGTGTGTCAAACTCAGGAGAAATAAATACGAACGAAATAAAAGTGAAAGCGGACTGTTAGCATGTAAGGAAAACATAAACAACTTCAACCAACACATAAATAAAAAGCTACAACAATACCTGTTTGATCAAATGTCTGAATAAACAAACACAATACTCGGTGGCTTAAA